ACATTTCTCTCTGCTATAGGGACATATTCCTCCAGTTAGAACAACACTCATTAGGGATAATACTATTTCTTTTGGACAGACTAAGTGCTCAAATGGTCAATGTTTGCTAAGTTTCCCCTGAGCACACCTTCATAGGTATTTTAGTTGACTTTGCCTGGATTTATCTGGAAGCTTATTTCTCCGTTATTTTTATTCAAAGGGACCAGATCACAAGCTGTGAAGCAGCAGGGTTAACCCATCTTGCCCATGTAGTCTCAGTATATGAAGTTCATTTCTCATTTCCTAATATAACTGGCCAATGGGATGCTTGTCTTCCTCCTCTTGAATATGACACATATAAGGAGAAAGATACCCTTGTTCATAGGCCCCAGGGTGCTAAATGGCAAGAGCAATGTCCTGGAACTAGCTCTGTAGACCAGGCTGGTCTCGAACTCACAGAGATCCTCCTGCCTCTGCCTCCCGAGTGCTGGGATTAAAGGCGTGCGCCACTACTGCCCTGCGGCAAGAGCAATCTTAAGCCACCTTCCTAAACGTACTCCTTCTGTTTAATGAGTGTAGTGAGCAAGAACTTATGCTAAATGTATGAGCACTGTCTGGAAGACAATAATTAAAATGTAGAGAAAACATCTTGCCTATTGATCCTTCAGCTTTTGGGTAATTATAGATGACTGGGCGAAAGTCAGGAAAAAAATAGTGACAGCATTTTGACTTTTATCTCCCACAGATGTTTCTAAAATTTCAAGAGATTTAGTCCACATGACTAGTGTTTGATTTGATCCAATTTGAATAGCTAGGGAATAACGGGACTAGATGGGCAAACGGTCCCTGTCGTCAACAGTCTCATTATGAAATATTTCATGCGTTCTCAACTGCAGGAGGAGTCATCTTGACAAGCCAGAAATAAGTAGTCCGAGAAAGTTGCGTGGAGGCAGAAACACCCCGGCAGAGAAGGGATACCATTGGACCTCAGTCTGCTTCTGCATCAGCCAGTTCTTACAAGATGAGACATGAAGCTCACAGTGAGCCTGGCTAAGAGGAAGTCACATTCTGGATCAAAAAGCAGCCTCACATCTCTAGCAACACAGAACAGATAAAAAAAAAAAAAAAAAAAAACAACTGTATGCGCTTCAGCCTTTTGTCGCCAGAGAACACACCTTGCCACCTCCACTCCATGTCCGAGAACATTAAAAATAAATAGGAACGTTATGAAGAAAAGCCAATTTATTTGCTGCCAGGCCTGGTTTCTCCATCACGCCTCAGACCAAAACCCTTCTTCTAGATCCGCTAGTCGACAGAAGATGCAGCCAGCTAAACTGGCTGACTAATTAAATCCCGTAGAAATTTCAGCATGCAAATGAGGTAAGGACAGCTCCTTCGATTGTGATTAAATTTTCTACTTGGCTAAGTATTTATTTTCATAGTAAAAGCAGCACACTGGGGACGAGCAGGAATAGACTTGAATGAATCAAGAGGGTGGCTGTGCACTGAGAGGAACTTCGAGGGCGGGAGAAAGGATACGGGTTTTAGGACCAGCTGTTCTTTCATAGCCGTAGCTCCTGCTCTATCTCGTGGAACTCCTGCCTACCTATGGGCCTTCACCCGGTGATGCCCAAGTTGGTCAGCTGCCCTCCTCCATCACAGACAAAGCCTTTCCTATTCTTCACCAGCCCAGAGTTAGCTACAGCCTTCCCGAGGTCCAGGGATTCTATTTATTTCTGTCCCATTAGTTCCAAATTCGTTTTTCTTTATTGCTTTGTCTTTTGGTGTGGCTGAGCACTTTATTTTCATAGTTTGTTTCTGAGTGTTCTTTGGAGGCCCAAGGCTAGCCTCCTGGTCCTCTTCCTCAGAGACTCCTGGCCTCTGACTGGGACACTTGCTGTCACCTTACACCCTTTTCATACCAGGCCAAGTGGCAATGACCTGCTCTGCCAAACCAGAGGCCAAATCGGCTTGCCAGCCTGACAGGTCACTCACATTCAGCGGCAAAGAAGCGCTGAGGAGAAGAGACCCCTTAGCAACCAACACAAAATCGAATGCTCGTATCTCTGTTGCGGGAGGTCCTTCCGCCCCTCCAACCAATAGCTGCTGTGATACCAGCCCATTGGGGCGTGGTCTCTCTCCCTTTAAAAAAGCGGCTATATCCTCTGCTCGCTCTCCTCACTTCCTGCTCCGCTGGAGACTAGACTCCCTTCCTGGTTGTGCAGATGGCTGTTGTCTGGGAATCAGTAGGGCATCTCTAACTATTATCCACCCTTAAAAATAAATAGACAGCCCTTGCTTGTTTTATATCCTACCCTAACACACTAACACATGCTTCTCCTGGAACACCATGACAAAGACCTTTTATCCCCGAGGGACTTCTATAGCAAAGATTCCCTAATCCTAGTTCTTGAAAGAAGTTTTTCTATTGCATCACTATCCTGAACCTGCAAATGTCTTTCTCAGAAACTGTGACTTTCCCAAAAGTTTCTGCAGTTAAGTGTAGCTATCATGGTGTGCTTCTGTTGAGGTAGGAGGCGCATGAGGTGTCTAGAGCCTGACCTGCACTGGGCTCCGCTCTGCTTTAGAGCTCTGCTTGCCTCAGCAAGTTCTGCCTAATTGCTTTTTTGTTTGTGTGTTCTTGTTGTTACTTTATTTCTCTGCCTGTAAATTGCTGGCCTATAGAAACCATGGCACAAAACGAGAGAGAGAGAGAGAGAGAGAGAGAGAGAGAGAGAGAGAGAGAGAGAGAGAGAGAGAGAGAGAAGGGGGAGGAGGGAGAGAGGGAGGGAGGGAGGCAGGGAGGGAGGGAGGGATGGAGGGAGAGAGGAGAGAGGAGAGAGAGAAGGAAAAAGAAAAAGAAGCAGGAAAACAAAAGAAAAACAATTAAACTAAAACACGTAATTTTGAAAAGCTAAGAAGCTCATGGACTGATTTCTTTCCTCCCTTCCTCCCTCTCTTCCTCCCTTCCTCCCGCCCTCCTTCCCTCCTTCCTTCCTCCCTCCCTCTCTCCCTTCCTTTTGTCCTTTCTTTCAGCATTCTTAGAGTAACATAACTAAGGAGCTCCGAAGAATCTGAGTTTAACTGTGTCAGAAGGACAGATGTTAGTGTAAATTATTCACACTGGCAATGCATTCCTGAGTATGATCTGCTAATCAGTATCCAGTACATTTTAAAGTTAAAATCTAACATGAGTGCCTCCACAAAAAAACAAACAAACAAAAAATACTTGCTAACTTCAGAATTCAAATCTGCACAGATGCTCTCTAGGAGATAACCCCCCCCCTTCTCAAAGAGACCATCAATTGAACAAACAAGCACTTTTTCTATAAACTTGATATGTAGGATCTCAAGGCAGCATTCTATTCGATTCAACTGTCTGTGCATTGGTAACCAATATATATATGCATTTAAAGATACCAGTTGTCATACAATACATTTCCTATTTTTATACAGATGTATTTAATTTTTTAAAAAAGGAAAGCAAGGCTTAAAAAACAGAAGAACAAATGGAAGCCACAGTCAGTATATAGTGTTAGGAGCTAAGAGGAAACAAGAAGGGGTTGGAGTCGCAGTCCATGTGGTTTTCAGGGACACGTGCGCGTACCTGTGGCACAGGATCCTTCTGAGACCACAAGTATCTCTCTCTGCTGCTTGCAGGCAGCCTGTCTCAGGTAGCACTCATTCTGGTAGCTCTCTCCATTGGAGCCACACACAGGCACATAGTCACTGTTGCACTGAGGAACAAAGATAAAAGAAAACACTATGGTCGTTATTGGATTCTGCATCCCTCAGACAGCCCAAACACATATAACCACTTCCAAAACAAACCACTTCTTTTGGTTGTCGGTGATCCCTGTCGCATCCTACAAGGGTTTGCTCTGTAAGGGCATCACCGAGAGATACACAAAGGGCCATGTCATGTTGGCCAATTTGTCATTTGATTTAGGCAGAGGCACAGCAAAGTATTCAAATTGATTAGGTGATTCCAAGAAAGTGACTGAGCCATTAGCCCACAAAAGATGTAACAACAGGCACGCCCCGATTATTTAATTTTTCCTGATAGGTATCCTTGCTGACTTGCTATGGTGAAAGCAAACAGCTCAGCCAGGTGAGGCTATTAAAATCAAAGCTGACTGCTATCTGTCCTGGGAGCAGAACTATTTGGCTGAAATTTCAAAACTAAAATAACAAAATAAAATCCTTAGTTACTCCTTGGTTCTTATTTTTTTCTATTTAATTTTAATCTTGATACATTAAGAAATATTCAGATAAGATATTGATCTGTTAATTACTGCTTATCATTGAAACTTTGAACGTTGATAACGACAAAGGATAGGAGCAAGACTTTGGAATATAGAAGGAAAACTTTCACAAGTAGTGAACTGCATATCCAATTTGTTGAAAATCCCAAATGATAACTCTTCGTGTTTGTTTCAGAAAGAGAAATGCTCATTTTTTTTTAAAAAAATAAGCGCATTATAAAAACTACATATTTCTACAATGGAAATTAGGCAACCTACCGGGTACAACCGTCATATTATAATCACACTCTAAGACATTAGAGATACTTGGCTGTGTCCTATACCTGCTAATTACACCAGGATGTGATTATCTGCTGATTGCTACTACCGATGCACTTCATTGTTTAATTATAACAAATAAAATGATCAAGATGATTATTCATCAAAGCTTGCCTGTGCCAGAAACACGGGAAGGAATACCATGCGTGCAGATCCATTGGAACTGCTTCTCTGTTGTCTACTTTTCATTAAAATGTTTGAACTTTGGATGTGCTATAACTCTACAGTACCCACACAAAAAATCAACAACCTATCCAGGTTTCAAGGAAATTTGAATATGCACGTTTATATGCTTAAAAGTTTACACATGTAAATTTGAACGCAAGGACTTATGCCAAAGGAAAAGAATAAAACAGGTTTGAGATGAGAATTAATTTGACAACAACTTGAGGCATATTTGATTCCATATTTTCATACAGCACTTGTATCCTTTTATTCACAATAATCTATTTAATCCTTTCTTACCTTTACATAGCAAAAGTTTTATTATCCTGAGAAATGTATTTATCTATGCACTTATTTTGTGTATATGCCTGTGAGTTCATGTATATGCGCATGCCTGTGTGGGGGAGCAAGAGGTTGACATCAAATATCTTTCTCACATCTTCCCCTTCATTTTTGAGTAAGGGTCTCCCCCTGAATTTGAAGCCCACAGACTCAGCTAAGCTGATCCCGGGATCATTCTCCCCATGATATGGTCATGGTTGTGCACTGTCACACCCAGATTCTTACATCGAAAGTGTCAATTGAACTCAGGTCTGTATTCTTGCACAATAAACACATTAGTTTCTGAGCATTTCCCAGTCTTCCACACAGACAAATTACCTGTGATGTAAATCAGTGTTTCTTGAATGAAAGGCACATGCTATGCCTTTTATACACCACTGAAGAAATTAAATATGAAATTTTGCTAATTGGTATTTTTCCAAAGAGTGAATCCAAATCTTAAGGCATTTATGATAGTCATGATTGCTAATCGCACAATTTCCTAGATATTTTAGGAATCTTTAAATTTATTTCTATAGTTAATAACTAGACATTCTGGATGCCTTATATTCATTGAGTAATTCCATTCCACAGTTATACTGTTGGTTCATAAGTTGAGTATGTTTACATAGCTACATATGAAATTGATTTGATTATGATTTTTGGTAATCTGTCATTACTATTCAACTCAATAAGCAGTTCGTTTTTGATTTGTGAAACCTGTGGACTGTATGTCTTTATAAGCTTTCTGTACACGTACACATACACACACACACATGAAAACACATACACAGACAGACAGACAGATAGATTAAATTACATTTGATTTCTGACTACTGTAAGTGTATCTCCAGTGTTACTCAAGGCAAAGACAATAGCCAAATTACAGTGAGATTTCAATTTTCCAATAATAACTATTAAACAGTAAAAGAAAAGTTAAGGCTGGTGCTAACTTCGTATTTATGGTGAGAAGACAAATATGGCCAAGTACTGGGTAAATGTGCAGTGTTCAGGACCTGGGACAGCAGAATATAGGTGGACTTTGGCAGGTCTCTAAAGCTACTGTGCTGTCTGAGAACTTGGAGGGGAAGGTCAAGGAAAGAGATGGCAACAATAGGGACAAGAGGCTAGCTTCCTCTTCCTTAAACACACAAGAGTCAAAATGTATGTGGATGGCTGGTTTACAAATTTCTCATGCTTGCGTCTGGCATTCTTGCCCCTGGTCCTCTTTTCATTAGCAATGTTGGGTGTGCAGATTATTTGAATTCACAATTTCTTCTATCTAACTCTGACTCTTTTTTTTCTTCTTCTTTTTCTGTCTTCTCACGTGCTTCAGAAGGTGAGTCAACTACCGGGCCGCCGGACTGGAGGGAGGATGGGAAGATGGGAAGCTCTTATTATCTTTGTCAAGGGCGATGACACAATTGCTGATACGCATCTTAAAATTGAGAATAAACTGGTAGAGGACTCTTATGTCACTTCTGTGGGATGCTCTAAGCCAAATGTGAGCAGTGTTTAAAGCGGAGCTGCCAAGTTCCACGCAGAAGCCAAAAGGGGGATTTGTGTGGAGCTGCGAAGAGCTTAACTGTAGATTATCACCATGATGCTTTTGGCCCTTGGTACCATGACTTGCACGGAAGGAAACGGATGCTCTCAGGCAACAAAACTCAAGTGTGGATGCCTAGTCCTGGCTTGTCGTCTCTTTCTCTCCATTTTTTTCCGTAGGGATTGGTCATGTTACTCCATGGCTAAAACCTTGTACATCCATAGTTTAGTTTCTTCGTCTGAACTGGTGAATGGGGACATGTGGAGAACTAAGAAATTTATGCTTTAAAAACTTAGGATTTGTTATAAGTAACACCTATTACATGGAAATTATTCGGCGTTCATGTCACACTTTTTGCTAGCAGAGTCATCAACTATCTCCCACGGTGAGGTGCTGTTTGTAGAATTAGAAAACAAAGGTACACACTCCACAGCTCTAGGTGAGAATCGGCTACCTTCTGCCCTGAAATATGCCAGATTCATGAAAAATGGTTGATGAAGGTAGTCATGGCATTGTTCACGGTCTGAATAAGGGAAACTTGATGTCTAGTCACTTACTAAAAGTCTGCATGGTTGTTTGGTGAAGAAAAAAGAAAAATCGAACCCAGATTATGGTTAAATCTATAAATGTATGTGTTACATAAACTTCTAAGAGGAATAAGTGATTCTGTTTTTCCTTATGTCTTTAAAAATCTCAAATTTATTTTCCAAATACATGTTTTCAGTAGGATGACTTTGTTCCCTAGTTTTCATATTGCTTAAGACAGCCACACACTACGTTAATGGAGCCAACAGCTTGAATCTCTGAGATCTATGGAATTCATCTTTGCTACCAGGGAATAAAAAGACCATACAAGTTTTCACGTGATTTGATGCTTGTTTGGTTAATACAGATTTTCGGGCTGAGATTTCAGCCTCTAGAAGCTAAATGTGACTTAAGTTGTGTCTGTTGCCAGCACCTTCCACAGTGTCTGGCATGGAGTTGGTTCTCAACAGATGTTAAGTGAATTCTGTTATATTCCCAGTTGTCAAAGACTGAGGAAGAATAGCTTGAGATAACATAGTACTCTTTCGGAGGAGAAAATGTTTAAAAATCAGTATGTGTTGTAGTTTGACCATTCCACCAGTAACTTTTACTTCTCTGGGACTACATCTCCCTGCATGTATACTGTGTGTGGTTTTTTAAAATGGGTAGGTCTTTGACCATGGAGGGTGTGGCTGTCATTCCTCATGTCAAGTCACTGAAGAACATGGGTTTGACTTGGCTCCTCCTCTATCTCTGGATGTCGCCCTTGAAACTTACCCACCGTGCTATGTCAAAGTCCAAAGTAGCCCATGCAGAGAGTCAGGGGCAGAGAGTAGCCACGCTCTGCAATTGGTGATCAGGCATGAATTAGAGCCCTGAACTGAGCATGCCCCGAATGACGACTCCTCAGCCAGTGATAACAGAAAGTGCAGATAAGCTGCTCCTAATAACCTCAACAAAACTATAGATCTATGAATAAGATAAACTTTCACTTCCAGTCTCTACATTCTGGGCAAAACTTAAAGCAGCCCCAGTAATTGGACATGTTAGATATAAGACCTGGTTTATCAAGAGCAAATATTTAACACCCAAATTGGAATATTCTTGAGAAAAATATAAAGCTACCTCATAATTTAAACTCATACAATTGTCATGGATCACTCTGTGGCCAGAACTAAGAACAACTGTGTCTTTCTCTCTTCCTCCCCTCCTACCTTTCATCTGTCTTTTGATCATCCATCCACTCATCTGCTTACTGCCTCTCAGTCTTTTCTTCACGATTGATTTACCAGATTGACTACTGTATCTTTTGATGCTGTGATAGGAAGGTAAGATGCACAGAATTGCATGGCAATTTAATTTTTTATTTCATTATCTAAGAATTACTGGTAGAGATTTAATACCCCTTATCCAAAATGTTTAGGAGGATAACATTTGAAATCTTGCCATTTGTCAGATGTCAGCGTAGACTTTGCCCTTTGAGCATCCATATTAAAAACAACAAACAAACCTAAAATGCTTTAAAAAATTCAAAACATTTAAAATATAATGATGGACTTGAGAGTATTTTAGAATTTTGGTTTTATGGATTATAGATGTTCAACTTATACTGCTTTGGTTATTAATTATCGTCTATAATAAACTGGCACTGTTGTGTTATTGTAATTCTTCTTTGCATGCACAATAATACTGAAAAATTAGAATCAGGGTGCTTTATAAATATATCAGTTGGTTTCATACTCTAGGAAAATGACTTAATGGTAAAATATTTATATTAACAAAAATAACTTTCCTCATCTCATAAATGATGTAAAGGAATGTATGTCATTGGTAGAGCACTTCCCTCTCACATGTGAGGCCCTGGGTTAAGTCACCAGCACTGTAGAAGAAAGAAGGGAGAAGGGAAGAAAGGGATGACAGAGGAAAGACAAAAACGAAAAGTGAGCCAGGTAACCAAAATTACCGATTTTGTTGCAATCATTGAGTGAGTTTTGAAGGGTGGGAATTAATGTCTGTTAAGACATACAAGGGAAATCGGGGTCATATATGTTCATGCTATTGTTGAGTAATAACACATACTGCAAGACATTCTAAGTTATACACAGTATGCATATTTATGATTGAAATTTATCTCACATCCAGAAAGACTAATGGCACATCCCATCTTAAATAGAATAACTCATGCTTATATAGGAAACTGCACAAGAAACAAAAGTTTAGGATACTATCTTGAAGAGATTTTCAGATCTCCTCCTTTTTGCCAGATAAAAGTGGGAAGACATAAAAGAAAAACAAACAAGTCCACAGAACAACAACAATAATCCCTAAAGACTGAGAGGAAACCAAGGGACTCCGAGCTCAGCGTAGTTTCTCATTTTCATGTGATTTGTACAACTTTATTTAGACATCACTATGATTTAGATGTTCAATATTTCTGATAACGCATAAAGTATAAATTTACTACTAGAGAAATCATTTTTTCTCTTGAAAGACTGACTATTGTAAAACACACATTAATAGCAATACAATCCAGTAGTAAATTAAAAAATATAAACTTGTAGCATTTATTATTTGAAAGCTACTCCATAGTTACTTAAGTTAATATATATTGGCTAACCGATGTATGAAAAGCATAAATCACTTGGCTGACAACCCCCCCCCCTCCATGACAGCTAAGAATCAAACATGGTCCCTTTAATAAGTAATGACGTATTTCAATCTCCTGCATTTGCCCAGTTAGAAGTCTACCAGTTTCGCTTATTCTAGGTGAAGTACCAGAAAGACAAGCTCCCATGTGAGGAATGGTCTTCATGAACCATTCTATGATGCTGACAAACTTACTTTCTGTATCCACCCTAGGTTACAAAAGTAAGAGAAAGTCACGGGGATCACGCAGTTCTCAAAAATCTGTATAATTCCATGGGCCTTTAGTCATTTATCCGACTTGCTTTTTCCCACTTGGTTTATAATTCCTAAACTTATCAGTGGGTGTTCTCACGCTCCACCACCCTCACGGATCTCATCAGGAGAACGTGATTCGCCACTGGCTGTGGTAGAGACTTTGAAAGTTGATGACACGTGCGTGTGATCGTCACAGACACATTTATGATGCGAGGGCAATAGCTTCAAGAATTTAAAACTACCAATTGGCTCATTCTGTTTCTCAAAAAGGAGAAAATAATACCCAAAAAACTTTAATCTTACCTAAAAGTAACTTGAGTCATATTTATATGTGGATTGTCTTATCTTCACCAAGACAAATTCCCAATATTTAATATTAAATCATTTCTTAGTATTGTATATTAAATAGGTATGTAGATATGTCTTATGTTTTTTATTTGTTCTGTAACCTTCTTTTTTTCATAGAATTTTGGAAGCATTCTTGATCTTGATTGTAGTATATATTAGATATAATATGTATAGTATATTATATACTGTATAGTAATATAGTATAGTATAATATATAGAATATATAATATATACTGATTCAGTATATATTAGATACAGTGTATGTTTTTAAATGCAATTCAATAACTTAATAACAACAATGGTAGTATCAATTAAATTCAATTCTGGAAACTAGTTTTGATGATACCTCCCTTTGTAAAAAATATGCTTATCTCTCCAACTGTTGCAAACTTCCATGACGCATGGCAAAGTGCACCTTTCTTCTGCTTAGGACTCAATTTGAGGCTCTAAGTGCTCATTTGGGTTCCTAGGAGACTCTGTTGTCATCTAACGTGCTATTCTGAAAACCCTTAACATATATTAACAAGGTTCAGTTTTGGAGTGACCTCAATAGAAGTCAACTTAAAATTGTCTCATATGGACAGGATAATGAAATGAAAGACCACTAAAACATAGAACGATAGAGTTTAAAGAGAGAGAGAGAGAGAGAGAGAGAGAGAGAGAGAGAGAGAGAGAGAGAGAGAGAGAGAACAACTCAGGAGAAGAACAAAAGCACAAACTCACACTTTATATCCACTGACCTTTGACAAGTACCCTCAGTCAATTGACCTATAAATGCATGCGTTCCACATCTGAAAAGTAGAACCCAAAGCTGCCTGGCTCCAGTGGCATTTCTAACTATGGCACACACCAGTCTCTAAAAGGCATGTCTTCTTGACACCAGCTTGCTTTCTTTGCAGTACCTTTGTGTGATGCCAGCCTCCCTTTGAGTCTGCATAGTTCTAAAATGCCAAATGATGGGTTGCAGAAGCAACTCTCTGCCTTGCAGTCTTTGTAAGGGATCGAAGGTGCAGATAGCAATGTCTTACCTTGAACTGACAGACGCAAGTCACAGTGTCTCCAATCCTTAAACATTCCCCGTCAAATTTACAGGTGTTGGTGTCGCAGAGGAAGAGATCATTTTCTCTGTCATCATAACCTCAAGTTCAAAGAGAATGCTCCAGTCATTTGAAGATGCTATGAATTCTTTTAAGAGAATGCTATTTTGTGGCACTAACAGAATTTTCTTAAAATTTAACTTCAGCAGCCACCGATGTTCCAAAGGTTGCTTTCTACTAACAATCCCAAAATCTAGATAAAGGAATCAATAATATTTTATACTTCTATACCAGTTTTTAGTAATTCCCTTTCAATATCATCTTTTGAATTTTAGCTTGGATTAATGCTGACTTTGAATGGAAGTTTGATACTTGCTTCTCAGCTTCCTCATCTCCCCTCACTAAATAGACTATTATCAGTGACCCAAACTCAACATTTTTTGGAAATTCTGGTGATGGCGTGTGGATGCTATTTCTAGTATTTCTTTATCTTTATTTATTCTTTGCTATAAGGTCTAATATGACTCTTAGTTGACATTTTTTTTCCAGACAAAGAGGAAGCAAAACCTCAATAATAAAGATAAACAGGCTTGGCGTTTTCTATGAAGGTCTCTCGGGCTCAGAGGAAGATTGATCACCTCTCAGTCAACAGGGGTGGGAAAGGGCTGCCAAGTTCTCAACAACCTTGCTAGGAGTGCAGGCCATTCTCTTTAGTTAGTGCACCCACCTTTGAGATATATAGCTCAGAACGCATTTCTTCATTGCCAATGTCACACTCAAGTTAATTCTTTTCTGTACTAATACCAGGTAAGAATGAAGCAAACTGGTCCTATTCAACATCAGCTACAATCAAATTTAAGGGTGTTTTGTTCCCAGGTGGAACTTATTCTCTCTTTAAAAAAAAAAAAGCCTACAGGAATGCAGGCGCCAAGAAGAAGCTAGATCCATGTTGAGTTTCATAAAATGCCACATTTAGAAATCACCCAAAGCAGAACCGTCAATCTACTGACCCAGATATCAGGTAACTGTAAATTTCAACTTGTCTTAAGAAAGCCCAAACTGGATTGGCATATATTAATTGCCTCTTGGGGTTTATCATAGCCATTCCTTAGAACTGTGCATGCCTCCAGCTATAAGTTACACTTAATAATCACACCCTCTCGACAGTTACAGACCCTTCCTTTCACCTATATTTCTACAAAAGTTCACCTCATTCTATTGTACCAGGGTTTTATTTACAGAAAATAAAAGGCTATAAACACACTTGCTAAAACGAGACGGCATCAAACCGTGAGGACAATGCCCAGGCATGTTTATGAAGTTTAAAATGCCAAAGCTATCATACCGCAGTTCTTCAAGGTAGGCTAGAGGCTCTCCCAAGGAAACGTAGAACAAGCCAGGAAGATTGCAATAGCTCCAATCTTTGGGCCCTTTTCAATTAGTGCTTCAGTAGGGTGCAGCCTGTGAGGCTTGAGTGTTCTGACAGGGACTGAATGAGCAAGAGGACCGCCTGTCACTCCAGGAAGCCCAGTGCAGAAGTGAAGGGGTTGGGACCCACTGTGGTAGGGGCACTATGTTTTCAGAAGCATCCAGGCTTGGGGCATCCCATCCTGGCTGGGGGAGAATCTGTGATCGCTCCTTTTCTCAACTTCTGTGCTCCTCATAGGAGCTGAGAAAGCCTGGGTGGACATCCTTTGGCTACAAAATCAACCTCTTTCAAAATCAAAGGCGTTTGCAGCCAAAGAAAGAGGGAAAGGAGGGAGGGTGACACGGGAGAGGGAGGGACAGAGAGAGGGCGCACCAGAGAGAGCAAGAGAGCAAGAGAGAGTTAAAGAGCTATAGAGGGGGGGAGCTATAGCTAGAGGAGGAAAGAGGAAGAGGGAGAGAGGGGAGGGAGGGAACAGGGAGGCAGAGAAATGAGAGAGAGAGAGAGAGAAGAGAGAGAGAGAGAGAGAGAGAGAGAGAGAGAGAGAGAGAGAGAGTCAGTTCTTGGAAACTTGCCTCCTTCAGAAATATCTGTGACCCAGTGCCCAGTGCTAAGTAGGAAAGCCCTGCATTCAGAAGCATTTTTTTTCCCATGCAGGAATTAACGGTTCCCCCTGCAGTCATCAGTTGATTTATTGCTTTCTCGATTGTTCTTTCTCATAAAGTTATTTCTCGCACAGCTAGGCTAGACTTTTATTTTTGAAACGACAGGAAATAGTCTCTGTTAGGTGTTTCCCTAGATTCGAGAATCCAGAAAACTCCCTCCCTAGTATTTCTCTAAATCCTCTCAGCTCCAATTTGAGGGCAGACATCCAAGGTTCCCCCACACCTCCACTTTGTTCCTATCCCAGCACGCCCAGCCCTGGCTGAAGCAGTTCCCAATGTTTCTCAGGATGGAGGTGGGAAGTCCTGGCTTCCACGCAGTGGAAGGCGAGGGGCTGGGCAGACGCACGAGGGTGGGCCGGCAGGTCTGTACAGGTTCCGCGCTTCTGAGGGGTGAAGGGGTGGAGGGCTGAGGGTCTGGACTTACCGGAGCAGTTCCAGCCGGTGGGCGTTTGGCAGTCACTTAAGGAGGTAGGGAAAGCAGCGAGTTTCACCGGGCGGGCTATGATAAGCAGCGTCACCGGCATCAGCAGCAGCCAGCAGAAACCCTCGCAAAGTGTCCAGCTGCTGCACTGCCGCGGGGACTCCCACAGCACCATGACTACTTCGCGCAACTCTGCAGCAACCAAAGGCTTCTGAAGAACACGGGATCGCGGGGGCCACGCAGCGGGCTACTGAGCATCCCGCGGACCACGGCAGCAGAGGAGGAGGCGGCGGCAGGGACAGCCGGCTCTGGGGCTGCGGCCAAAGGAGTGCATGATCTCAGGAGTTTCAGCAACATCCAGTAACCCGGTTCAGCCCCGGGAGCGAGAGGATAGTCCGCTGAGAAGCTTCGCCCCAGATGCGGGGAGCTGCTGCCATAAGGAACAGGGTTGGGGCAAAGGAGGAACAGGAGACAGAAACCAGGAGGCAGAGAGGAGGCAGCCAGCGGGCAGGAGAGAGGCGCGCGACTAGACTGGGTGGAGGGACAATCACAGCGCCCCGCAACCCAGCCGCCGCCTCTCGCGCTCTGCCGCCCGCATCCCTCTGGCGTTTGGGAAGCAGCAGGTCCTTAGCCCGCCCGGGGTCACGTGGGAAGCGGCAGTCGGACTCTGATTGGCGGAGCGGGATGCAGGTCCCGGGAGGGAGGGGTCGGCGAGGAGGTGCAAGGAGGAGGCGGCCACCAATGCCACAGATGGGCTAGCTCTCTAGGCTCTTGCCCTAGTCGGGCTGGGGCGGGGGGGGGGGGGGGGGTGGCTCCTGGGAGAAGCTCAGGCTTCTTCAGGGCGGCTACTCCCACGCTCTTTCATTCCACTTGCCTCGCTGCTCTGCTCCAGGACGCCCCCTACCCTGCGTGGGGTCCGAGCTTGCAACTCTCTTCCTCCGTGCGTGACCCAGGCTGCCAGCACCCGCTGCGGCTGGGTGGCCTTGTCTTCCAGCTGGAGATGGTGGGGGCGGAGGAGGTGGAGAATCAGCAGCCGCAGGGCAGCGAGGGGGAAGCAGGCAGGGAGCAGAGGGTGTCCCGCTGGAGCCGGTGGGCTGGAAAAGGGATCCAGGCTAGGCATGTCGTGGTAGCGTAAGAAGCATAAGGATGCTTCTCTAGGCGGTGGCCGAGAAAAGCGGGTGAGAGGTGGCTCTGTGATAGCTAGAAAGCTCTGTCTGTAAGGCTTAAAGCAGCAGCAGCGGCTCCCTGAGGAGCTGCAAACCCGACGGTGCTCTCCAGGCGGGTGCAGCCAGTCAGTCTCCCTGGCTCTCCCCGGTCTCCTCGCCCCTCCCTTTCCCTTTCCAGGCTCTCTGCAGCTCAGACCCGCTAGGGCAGCTGAGGTTTGGGTCCCTCTCCCCTGCGCGATCTGGTAAAGCCTGGAACCTATTTGTGTGGCTGTCTAAAAGGCGCAGCCAAATGTACTTGGAAGGTCAGTTTTGGTTGGGACAGGTGTCCGTGAGGAGCAGCAAGAGGTTTCCCTGCATCTATGCTGAAGATGAGTTACAGGGCGAATCCACAGCCAAGTGGCGCCTTGGAGGAGAGGATCCGCTTAAGCTGCATGGGCAGTAGCCCCTGGGCACTTTACTCCGCGGCTGCCGGATCACCAGTGACCTGGGAGAGGCAAGGGTGTCTAACTGGGCTCCAGTCACTAGCTTGCTCCTCTCGGTTCTCTTTCGCCCCAGAACTCGGGAAACAGCAGAACGCTACCGCTTTCCTTCTATTGCACTCCAGCCAGTTAGAAACACTCTATAGCTTAATGGCATGTTAGCTTGTAGGGCCCAGAGCTATCTGGGACGTGGGACGAGGACGGAGAGGAGTGTCTGTCTCCTGCGACTCTAGTCACTACTGCAGTCACAGGGTTCCTTGCAGCAGAGTTCTCTCTCTCTCTCTCTCTCTCTCTCTCTCTCTCTCTCTCTCTCTCTCTCTGTGTGTGTGTGAGCGTTCAGTTATTCAGGATTTCTTTTTTTCCATCCGCACCATACATGTATATCCCCTCTCGGTTTCTCTCTCCCTCCTCTTCCTACTCTCCCACCCCCCCTCTCCTTTTCTTTCAAGAGCTCGTGTATCCTTCCCCCTTTCTTAAATTTCCTTGTATCCCCTTCCAGACGTCCCTGCATCTTGACTGAGAGCATTGTTTGAAGGCATCTAATGAGCAATTAGCGTACCTTACCTAAATCACTTAAAAGAGGCTCTAACAAGCTTTGCAAAGGGTACTCTCTACCCTCTGCAGACACCACCAGAAAACAAACTATACCAGAGCAATCCCTTTAAGTACTGTGACCTCCAACCTCCTCCCACCCGGATGCCTTTTAACTTCGCCTTAGAGAGATGTGATCCCACAGCACCTCTGAGCCTCACAGCCACCTCTCTTTCTTCCTCAGTGTGGAACCTTTTCCTTTATCTCACAGATCGGGGCTCCCTCCCAAGACTAGCTTTCCCGTCCTCTGCCCACCCTTAAAGATATCTGAATCTTGGTGTCTCTTGCCCCAGGCAAATAAGCAGCCACAGATCTCAGCGTTCCACTCAATGGCATCTCTCACCAGCGAAGACTCCATTAACACAGATCAATTTGACCAGACGTTGGAGGCATCAGAAAAATCGGCTTTTAGATGAAGCAAGTGAGTTGTTGAAGGTAAAGGAATGCCCGGAAGATGGAGCTGCCAAAGATATCGCAAAAACAAAGAAACAGAGCTGCTTTTCATCCGAGACTGCAACAGACCTTCAAGCTTAGCGCAGACTCAGCCGCACCAACCCCACAGTACAGAGTGAGAACCTGGGATTTTCCATACCAAGGCTCGACCGGCAATCAGAAACTAATTAGGCATGTGAAAACAAGCTCCGTTTAAACTAAAGACAAAGTCCTTCAGACACTGTGATTTTGCAGCGATTAGGATCGGAAACCAGAGCTAGGGATGCAGGGCTTGACTATAACGTAGAATTTTACAGAACCTCTTCGTGAGGAAAATTGCTATTGCGTTCTCTGCTAAAATTTTGGCTCGTGTTGTAAGAATGTGTATTCTTCAGACTCTTTGCCCACAGTAACTTAAAACGTCCACGGAGTCAATTGCTGCCTGAGTGGTTAACACAGTCCCCTCCACGGGGGTTCTTTACACTATTAAGCCAAGCCCTTGGAAGCAAAGCCTTTCATTGGGAATTCTGTGCCGCTGCGTCCCTTACTAAGCGTTTGGTGGTACAGTGCCACCAAGAAACGGATTCTGCAACTGGCAGGCACCACCAAGTGGCGGAAGAACATCATTCACTGAACAGAGCGCTGCATTGTCCAATATGTAAATAAAACATGCATATTCTTTAGTCTACATTAGGCACCGAGGAGCTAGACGGGCACGCTTTATTATTGTAGGATTGTCCAAGCGCTTCATAGCTTTTCCCTCTAGGTTCAAATCAATTTCCTCATGACCATAAACTTTCAAAGTTTGCTTACGAATTCTACCTTGCATCATCTATCATATGATTATTAGTAATTTAAGTGAACTCATACCTTGGGTTTTCAAAGTTCCTATTTAAAACAGTGCTGCATGCTGTCTTCAATATTCCTGAGTTAGAATGCTTTAGTTGTGGGACACATTATCTGGAATTGATACAAGGACCCAGAGAGGTTGACAGGTGTTCCGTTAAAAAATTGCAGGTAGGTTGTTTTGTTTTTTGTAGAAAACTATTTTAAATTTAGCTTTTGTTTCCAGCTTTGTGAACTTAAATAAATTTGCGTTTAATTTGGATGATTTGTGATGAGTCTGAAATTAAAAAGTAAAATTGGCCCTTCCCCTTTCCTCCTTCCCTCTAACCCTTCCCATGTTTTCCTCATAAATCCATTTCCTTTTTTCTTTAGTTATTGTTACACACATGCATACATACAAAAAAAATAACTTACAATAAAACATTTGGGAAGAGACTGGGGGATAGCTCAGTTGTAGAGGTTCTGGGTTGGATCCTCAGCACAACAACCACCACAGACTATTTCTCAAGCAGAGCGGACATCATCAAGACCTGTGAGATTGCTCAGGGCTTCTGAGAACTGCGAAGAGAGAACGGGATTGTTCTAGAAAAGCAATGTTGACGATTAATGAGGTTCGAAAAATAAGACAGGAGGGATTTGTTCTTCTCTCTCTAAAGTTTTCTGATTGTTCAGTAGAGGGAGGGTACAGATTATGCTTTGTCGCACGTCAGACATTCTAGTAAATAGAAAGAAACACGTCATTGGGTCCCTACAACACCCCTTTGGAGACAAAAGTGATACCTAGTCTTGTTTTATGAACAAGTTGCATCAAGCATTTTGGAACTTGGCAAACTTCTATCTAACATCAGAACACGAGACCTGCTACCGTGTTTATTTTATTACTGTTCCACTGAGACGGACTATATGATCTCTTCCCATGAAGAGGTTTTGTCTGCTCGTTCATTGGTGCACGCAATCACCCACGTGCATTAATTCTCAAGCAGGAGCAATGAATGAGGTCCAGTGGTTTCAATATGTTTGATCAAATGGTTAATTGAGATTGATTGCTTTTACCTTTTAAATTTATTTCTACGGGCATGCTTGTGTGTGCCACAGCACACATATGGAGATCAAAGGACCCTGGTGAGAGCAGGTTTTTTTTTTTTTTTTTTCATCTACCACTAGGGTTCAAGAGAACAAACTTGGGTCATCAAACTTGGTAATAAGCACTCTACCCTCTAAGCTATCACCTGACCCAGGAGAGTTTTA